TCTTCTCTATAATCTTTATTTTCTTATAGTTAATTGATGTTACTTATAAGTGCATTAATTTTAAATTAGTTTGAAATTTGTACAGTGTGTCTCTTAACTGTTTTCTTTTATTATATATCTTATATATATATATATATAAAATTACATTTATATTAAATTAAAAATTAAATTTTAATATACAATGGTTAGCAGATATCCTTAATAAGCCACAAAATAAAGGGATTAATTTAGAATGATGATAGCGTGCGTTTCACATTGTCAAGTAAATTTGGATTTTATTTCTCTCTCTCTCTCTGTTTGTCTCCTTGGGATGAGGTACTCGTAAATTCATTTCTATAAAGAATTCTGAGTTTAAAGACTTTTTCCTTTCTTAAACTACGGCACCATCTCCTTATCTTTAAAAAAATATTCACTAAAATTAGCTTAATGACTTATATATTAACCAAAAGAAAAAGTTAATAAATTATATTTCATATATGTTGACTGTCTTATATGCATAAGTCATAAAATATATAATGTCGTCTATAGCATCTTAAATAGCAACTCAAAGAACATGCAAATCTAATAATAAGTATTCATGGTTGAAGAATAACTCAAATGGGACATGTTAGAGCATATACTTTTATGAGTTTTATCAACGGTAACTACTTTTTCATTTTGTATGGATCTCACCATTTTTATATAGTTTTCGCTGCAAATTTCTCACACTAAAGTTGTCAAACAATGAAAAGGTATGAAGGGTCTTCTATGATAAATTTATCCGAAGACACTTTTAAAAAATAAAATAAAATAAAATAATTATTTTTTTAAACATGCATAAATTAACTTTTTCACAACCTTATTTTTTAACTTACTAGTTCTAAATTATGGAGAATATTATTTTGATTTTGATTTTTTATTAATTTTTCCTACTATAAATAATTCAGGAGAAATTTATTTAAATACGTCTTAAATATAAAATGTAAATGGTGATTTTGGATTTTTTTTTGGTTTGATAAAAAAAATATAACTTTTTTTTTTCACAAAATCGACTCTTATATAAATAAAGTAGAATTTTTTATTGCAACTCTATATCAAGTCAAATATCAAATTAAAGTCCTTGATTAAAGAAACATTTATATACACAACCTTGGCTGATTATGGACATTTTAAAAGCATACAATTTAGGGAGTTTTAAAACATTATTTGTTAAAGAAGGGGGGGTGAAATAAAATATTTCGCACGCTCTCAAGGACAAGTCATGTACACTTGAAGTTGCAACTCAATCAACTATCATATACTATGAATGAAACAAAATTGAAATTTGATGTTACTATCTACATACTGTCTATATAGATTGTAACTGTAAAAAAAAAGAAAAAGAAAAAGAAAGGAATCGTTGGCAATCGCTATTCTTTCATATCAAGACAATCAAATACCAATGGTTAGACAGTGATTGCGCACTTAAAAAAACAGAAAATGGGAAAATGGCCCAAGAATAGCATGGAAACACCTTGATTTTAGCACAGTCTCCATATGTGATGGCTCTTAGAGGTTGTAGGAGATGTGAGCCCCAGGAGCATGAACTTTTCAAGGTCCGATTCAAAAATATCATAACACACCCTCATGAATAATGAATCACCCGGCACGTGCACCAAATTAAGGATAGGTCCTCTACCTTACTTTGCAAGTGACAGCTGTCGGTAGTTTGACACAGTTTGACGGGCATCGTACGTGCATCTCCTGTAACATCATCAACATGTCCCCGAACTCTTTGGAAATTAACATGCCAAGAAACAAAAAAGCCTGCCACAACATCAGACTCGGTTTTGGTTCATCAGAGGCAACACGATCCCCTCCTTCGCACGTCACACAAATTATTACATGTTTTCCCAGGATGCATAGATAAAACTTAACCATTATTTCTTCACGTGGGGTTTCCGTGATTATTATTCATAACCAAATGTGAGCAAAATGATTGGGAAAGACAGCGGTGTTATGAAGGCATGGGAGGCAACGATGAGAAAGACACATGCAGTTGCCAAGAAGCGTGCCAACAGCATATTCGGGACGATATCTTTGGCACATGTTACGGATGAAGAAGATAACAATGATGATAATGAGGAGGACGAGAGTTGGAACGAGGCGTTTGAAGTGTACATTGAAGAGAAGGTTCTGTCAAACGGGGATTACTATACTGGTGAATGGGCGAATAACTTCCCACATGGGTTAGGGAAATATCTTTGGACCGATGGGTGCATGTACGTTGGAGATTGGTTTAAAGGGAAAACGAAGGGAAAGGGTAGGTTCAGTTGGCCTTCAGGGGCCACGTATGAGGGAGAGTTCAAGGGTGGTTACATGGATGGGACAGGGACATACACAGGGTCTAACGGCGAGACTTACAAGGGGCAGTGGGTGATGAACTTGAAACATGGTCATGGTTTCAAGAGTTATGTGAATGGGGATTGGTATGATGGGGAGTGGAGGAGGGATTTGCAAGATGGGGAGGGGAGGTATGAGTGGCAGGATGAGAGTCATTACGTGGGGGAGTGGAGGAATGGGAGTATATGGGGCAAAGGGAAATTTGTTTGGGCTAATGGGAAAGTGTTTGAAGGGTTTTGGGAAGATGGTTTGCCAAAGGGGAATGGGACATTCAAGTGGCCTGATGGGAGTTTCTATGAGGGGACTTTCAGCAAAGATGGTAAGGATCCGAGTGGGACATACCATCCAAATCCAATTGAGGAAGAGGGGGAGGAGAATCATAAGGAATGGGATCCTCAAGAGTTGTATAGTGAGTTGAGTGGTTACGTGGTGTGCCCTGGGGAGAAGGCTCAGGGTATGCCTTCAAATAAGAGGCTCTCGGTTTGGAGGTCTACCAAGGCAGGGGAGAATGCCAGGAATAGGAGGATGTCGGTGGATGGAAGGGTCAGTATTGGGTTGGAGAGGTGGGATGGTGGAGAGAGTGATGCAAGTGGTGCTAGAACTCCATCTAGGGTGAGTGATCTTGATGAGGATTTGATGGCTTCGCGTGTGGATGATGCTGCTGCTGCTGAAACCCAGGGTCAGCTTCTGCCTCTCAAAGCACCTAAGAAAGCAAAGAGGCAGGGTGAGACTATTAACAAAGGACACAAGAATTATGAGCTCATGCTCAATTTGCAGCTGGGAATCAGGTGTGTGTTGGATGCCTTTCTCAAAATTCCCAACCATGTTAAAAGGACAAAACTTAGATGTTTCTCTTGGTGCTTGTTTGGTATAGCTTCAAGACGTGGTTTAAGCTACCCAGGCTTGCTTCTGCATCAAACACTCACATAGTATTGTTTTCCGGTTATAATTAGAATTTCACTTCCCTAGTAAGAATTTACGCGTTGCATGCCTCATTAGTAAGAGTCAGTGTTAACTATAACTTACTTTATTTCCTGCTCCATGTTTACTTCCATCTTCTTTCCTGCCAAAGTAGCATTCCATTATCTCTTAATTATATTATGTCAATGAATGATATAGCATCTTAAGTGCCAGCCATGTCTAAGCAGAGAGGAAAAATGGCGTCCATGGTTCATTCTGTTGTTTACTTTAAAAATAAATTTATTTCCTTCATATAACTTCACCCCTATAATATAAATTAACAATTCTATATTTTCTGCATATGCAATTTGACATGTTATGCAGCTGTTGTGTTTTATTTTTCCGTAATTTTAGCCTCGCTGATTGCTTTCTTTTTACTCGTCTTTAACTTTATAATATTTCACATTTTATAATTAATTAATTTCTTGAACTTCATAGGCATTCTGTTGCAAGGCCTGCTCCCACAGCATCCCTTGATCTGAAGCCTTCAGCTTTTGATCCCAAGGAGAAAGTGTGGACAAGATTTCCACCCGAAGGGTCCAAATATACTCCACCACATCCATCGTGTGACTTTAAGTGGAAGGACTATTGCCCGGTAGTTTTTAGGTGAGCCCTATTATTAATACTTAATTGGTTGTTCTTGTTAGTTAATCTGTGCATATTATACTAGTCATTACACAAATATATTTATTACTTATGCATGAAATTTTATTTTGTCATCGAGTTGTCTGTGGTTCCTCCTTTCATAAACAAATAATTATGAGTATTAGTTCAATTTTAACATGCTACTAAAAAAAAGAAACTCTTAGCCAAGTAGCATTTTCTTCAACTCATACGTTGCTCTCTGTCTTTAGAGCTCTTAGGAAGCTATTTAAGGTGGACCCAGCTGATTACATGTTATCCCTATGTGGAAGTGCGGCCCTTCGAGAACTTTCTTCTCCAGGAAAAAGTGGCAGCTTCTTTTACTTGACCAATGACGACCGTTATATGATTAAGACGATGAAGAAAGCTGAAGTGAAAGTGAGTTCTAGGCTTATCTAGCCATATTTGAAATTTCTTAGGAACCATGACATGACATGATTCTTAAAATATTTAGCCTTGCTTGATTTGTCTTGCAGGTTCTATTGAGAATGCTTCCGGCCTATTACAATAATTTTCGAGACCACGAAAATACTCTTTTGACAAAGTATTATGGCTTGCATTGTGTAAAGTTAAATGGACCTATTCAGAGGAAGGTACATTTCCTATCGTGAGTGTCAATACAATATTTTATGTTGTAGAAACTTCAAATTTTTTGGCATTAACTATTTTTATTATTTTAGGAAAATAAAAATTTCTATAATAAGCTTCATAATATGTTTGGTTTTCCAGGTTCGGTTTATCATAATGGGAAACCTCTTTCGTTCTCAGTATATCACCCATAGACGCTACGATTTGAAGGGTTCTTCACTTGGACGCACCTCAGATAAGCCTGAGACTGAGATTAGTGAAACCACCATACTTAAAGATCTTGATCTTAATTTTATATTTCGACTGGAGAAGCCCCGGTTTCAAGACTTTTGCAGGTGATAATGATTTTGAGACCATAATTTTTAATTTTTAATTTTATATTTTAAAGCTAAATTTGACCACAATTGTAAGTTTTGAAATACATGTAGTATGACAAGTAATGAAGTTAAAATTAACTCCCTTGATTTTCTAATGATTGGTTATAATTTTGAATAACTAATAAGTTAAACAATTAAGAATCAAAATAAGTTTTGCGGTTTTAATTCACTGTCTTATGTCAAATTAAACTAAGTATGTAAAGCATATATTTGTTCTCCAGTCAAATTGATAGGGACTGTGAGCTTCTGGAACAGGAGGGAATTATGGACTATAGTTTGCTAGTGGGCATTCATTTCAAAGATATATCGCCAGATGGGGAAGTTATTCCTTTACAATCAGGAGCTCCTGCTACTGGTAATTTTCTTTCCCT